TTATATATATATATATATATATATATATATATATATATTGTTTTCTCAAATTAATAAAGAGTCTTAAGTATAGGCATGCCAAAACCTAGGGGTGTTGATGTTGAATTTAATATAGAAATTTTGATTTGAATATGGTTATTTACCTTTTGTGACCTTGATTTACATATTGTTTTTATTATTAGAGTTTTCATGGTTTGCCTCTTGGAAGAGGGTAAACTACAACGCCTCCTCTTGGAGATTAGATGCTCTGTTTAATAATAGATTATCAATGAACTATTCATTACAATAATCTTTTATAGCTATCTTGCGAGGATTTTTTGTTGATAAATTGTCAAAAATCTATAGGGTGAATAAGAAAATATAGGTAAGATTTTATTTGATATTTCTAAAAAAAACAATCGCAAAAAAAACAATCGCAATATATATAATTGCTAATATCATATCTACTATATTTAACCCAATTACTAATCAAATAGTAAATATTAACTATGAAATAAATTTAACAAATAAGAATATATATGTCAAAGCTATATGAAATGAAATAGTAAATATTTAACAATTAAATATTTCAAAAAGTAAATATTGCAATCATAAATATACATTGTTATGTCTCCTCTCCCTCTTAAACAAAAAAAGTCCCTTTGTTATGTCTCCTCCCCTTCATCCATTCTTCATCTCCCTCATTTTAAATTCATAAATGCCTATGCAGAGCTGGCAGATGGCTACTATCAAAGAACATATTCATTATAAATTGTTGCTTGGCCCGCATGGCTCCACTAGACTGTGAAGTTTCCACAGTAAATGCAATGGCTTGGCTCCTTATTATCTCTAATATATATTATGATTGTGATAGCATGTTGTTAGAATATGTATTTGATGTTGTGATTTTAAAAGTAATATAAGACTGAACCTTTCTTTAGCCACTAAATCTACTCTCGATGCATCACTTTTTTTATGTCTTAGCACACTGACCAGAAAGAAATTTTTCCCTACCCAACTCATCATGCATGTGTGTGTGTGCGCGCGCGCGCGTCAAGACAATGGTGGTAACTATTCTTTATTTAATAACTCGTCCATATATATATATATATATATATGGGCGAGATATTATATAAAGAATAGTTACCACCAT